TCTTGTCAATAATTTATTTTTTAGAAAATCCACATCAATAGATGTCATCATTTATTTCCAACCCTTTTTCTTCCAGGATAGAGCATAACAATATTCAATATTTTAAAGGAAAGTCTGCCTCGAAACATTGTTATGGTCTGTGCTAGCTGATAATGATGTCGACTTCTACAGGATTGATTATCTGGAGAAACATATTTTTACCACCGGACAACCGCTATTATCAACATCCATGATGCTTTATAAAAGAGAATCGCCAAATGAGTATGAATCATTCGAGAGATGCTTCAATGAAGAAAATCCGACTCGATGCCAAGGCGAAGATGCGACATCGAAATGACGAACAACTTTGCATGGTCGACTCAGATCATTGGTTCTGATGAAGACAAAGATGTCGAAACATTAGCCGAATAAAAATTATTTACCAAGCTCGTGTAAGTTTTCCAAAGAAAAACACATTTTTCTTTTCCCGTTCAATGTTATTTCGTTCCTCTTCTGGTTACTTTTTAGTTGTTGCACCTTTCTTGCCGGTTTGCATAGCCTCCAATAGTTTGTCGGCTATTGATACATCAAAGATAAGCAGATGTAGATATACTTATTGAGGTATAAGTCTGAACTCGAGATCTATCAAAGGATCCACCATTACCGTTTTCTTTTCCGAAACACTGATGGAAATCGTCACATTACTATCCCAGCTCATCGTAAAGAAATAACGATTCCAGAAAATAAGAAAAGCACTATGTCCGAACGTTCAAATTTTGTCACGTTCCGGTAGGTGAACGGGGCTTTGAGTGGTGCTCATCGTGGATGATGTTAGAGTGGAAGCTGAAAGCACGACGGTTTATCAGGGCGTCGTCTTTGTGTGGCGTACTGAGTGACACGTCATTTGCAAGCGAATCGGCTGTCATTTACACGTATGTATCGTAGCTCCTTAGTCAATCATCTGTCATGGAAACCCTGACTGACTGACTGCTTAGTCGGCTTGCCGACTTCACTCTCTCCCGACATGGTCAGACAGAGAGGAGTGTTGGCATGCCGCTAGCTGTGCGGGTCGCCCAAGTGTCCCACGGCAACCGCTGACTCATTTCACAAGTTCATCTACGCTTTACTAATTCGTAATACTAGTAATTTTATTAAAAATTGGGGTTTTGGAGTCAGCTAGCTGTTGCCCTGAAACTTGTTATTGTCACTGTTAAGGCTGTTCTACCGTCCTCATTGTTGTTAATATCACTAATATGACTTCGCAAACCGACTTTAATTTAACCTCAGTGCGAATAATCAACGTACATTCTTTCATTGGTGAGCTAACAGGAGGTTGATATAACAGACTGTATTAGGTTAACGTTCTCACGTCTTCGTCTTTCTTAGAGCCGATAACCCGAGTTGATGTCTGATGATGACGAAGACGTTGAAACATTAACCGAATAAAGTTTATTTTATCAACCTCGTGTTATCTCATCGATGAAAAAGGTGCTACAACTTTTAGTTCTGATTGAAAAATCACTCACTGTTCTGTAATCATCGAAAACTTTACGTCAAACATATCAGTTAACATTTTTTTTTGTTCAACTAGTTTTTTTTCCATGTTAGAGAGAAAATTCTCATTCCTAATGTCAGGCTACTGACAGAAGGTTTAGCGTGAAATCAGAGAAAGCAGAATAGTTCCGCTGTTCTGTCCCTTCTCTTCTCTGCACAGAAGCCTTTTCTGTTTTGGAAATACCGTACTGTAGTCTTCTGGGTCACAAATGAAATCTATATCATAAAGGATAAAGGATAAACCTCTCGGCTTTGATCAATCCCCGAGGGATGCGCCATGTATTCGACTTCATTAAGTATCGTTGGAGGTGACTGAATGCATATCATCTGTCCTTTACAATGACTCGCGGTGGCCTACCGATGCACTAAGCCAGCGCTGCTATCCTCCCAGACAAGTCTGGTACCAATTTTCCGACCCCGGAGGGATGGAAGGCTTGGTGGGCCATGAGTGCGGGGATCGATTTCACGTGTGTGTCGTAGTGGCGCTTCCAACCACTGCGCCACAAGCTCCCTTTTAAGTCTGTATCATGCCACCACTAAACTTCTTAATAACAACGCATACTAGTGACTTTTAGAGTACTGGAGCACATTTCTTTAGTTATATCTCATATCTCTACAAATGATGAAGCTGTTCTAACATTGCAACAACATTAAAACATTGCTCATTTTCGGATATCCTCATTCGATCTCTACTATCCACTTTTTCATCAATGTCGCCTGTTCGCCTACTTTCTTCGAGCTTTCTTTACAACGTAATCTTATTCCCAGATCGTTTTACATTTTCGTAAACACCTTTGCCGTCTACACTGCACAAACGGCGCTGAACAGCATTCTCGGTAGCAACATTCCTCGTTGTCCCAAAATCAAGTCTCTCATCATTTGTCTGACCAGCATTCTCATTTTCATCAATCTGATTAGCCAGGTTATGCTATCTTGAATACATGAATGGCTCGTCTGCGCAAGCAATCACAGGAGCAACAGCAAATTTTCACTTGCTATATTTAGTGATTAGGTAAGATTCACCTTACCCGGATTGTCAAGATAGCCTACGTTAGTTCTTTCCCAAATAGAAAGATTTTTTTATCGTCTACCGTCTGATGTTCACCACAGGCAGTCGCTGTCTCTAGAACAGATTTGCTACTTTGTAAATGAAGGTGCGCTGAATTCTGGCATTGGTTTGCTCTTAGCTGAGCTTCCGGATAGAAGCATTGAACTCAGTCTTACCTTGAAATGTTATAGCGGAAGTATAAACCACAGCTGTGCATAGCATTTCGATACTCAGAAATGTCCTCAGCTTTGATAAGGTGACAAAATGTTAGGTGGGGGTGGTAGTTAGGTTATAATTAATGTAAACTGTAAATAGTGGTGTGACCCGGATGGTGTAGTGGTGAAGTGCGCTGCTCCACGGTAAGGACAACAGCGCGCGTTCGTTCTCCACTGCATACACCTGTGGTCCGGAGTTTTGCAAATATCTCAGCATTTCATACGAGTTATATTTCGCAACATAACCTGCCATTAAGAAGAAAAAGGCAGTAAATAAAAGAGTTAAGACTGTAAATAGTGTCAAAACCGACTGAGCAGAAATTCGGAAATTCAGCACTACTTACATTAAACGAGACGTATTTTGATTTACGATGATAACTACATGAACTTCATAAACTGAAAATAATCCTTTCCTTTTACTCCTCAAATCAACTAAGGTCCCTCATAAAGGTTACTAAATCCTGTCCGACTGCTTGCTCCTTATTTGTTCACAATGTGTCATCTTTCGCCAAATGTCAACCTGACTATGGAGTGGCTTAACGTCATATGTCCACGAATGATGTGTACTATTTGGAATGCGTCAATCAATCCATTTGAAAGCTGTGACCAGTTTTCAGTGCTTGTCATTTCCACGCAAGAAACAAGGAAGTACGAGAAACTCAGTGCACGAAATATCTTATAGCCGTTACTAAGGTCTAACTTCAACTAACCGCATTCGTGCTTGAGATTTTATAAATTTGGCAATGTTTTGAGCATTTGGGTGTCATTTTCGCGTTACAGCTTTTTTCTTTCACTCTTCAACATTTCGTCATCACGTTCATTTCTGTCTTTCTATATCTAAAGTGAGTTTCTTTTAACTGGAAACATTTGCACTACCTAAATTAGATAGAATATTACTGTGTTAATGTTCTTGTAGCAATGGTAGCCATTGTGACCATTATAACCACAGCGCCGGTTGGACGTCGCACCGAACACAGGAAGCTTCTCATACCTCCAGCGTCGGCGGAGTGGTACCAGACGTGTCTTGGAACAATTCATTCTCTACAATTCAAGTGGGAGCGCTCTAGCTCGGCAATCCCAGAGCTCCAGGTAGAATCGACTCAACCAACATTCAATGACATTCATAAAGAAGACGACGACAATCTTCAAGCAGCGTCCGAATTAACACGTGAAAAGTTCGTAGCCTTCTTCGACTATGGATGTACGGAAACGAATCGAATGCAAGAAGTTATGAGATCCGATCCGTAGATTTGAACAAGGTTGTGTTCCTGAAAAGTATTCTCCAACGCTCTCATGGTGTGGTGGTTAGCGCGTTAGCCCCCAGAAAGGGTAATAGCGCGTTTGTTCCCCACCGCAGACACCTGCGGTCCATAGTTTTGCAAATATCTCAGCGTCATTATGGTTGTATTCCCTAAGAGTTTAATTCCAATAATCACGAAATCCTTGTAATGTATCCACAATAATGATGAGATATTTACAAATCTCGGACCCTAGGCTAGCTTGGAACCGGCGTTTACCTCCTTCAGGAGCTCACGTGCTACTCACTGCACCACCGGGTTCCTTGCTCTGACTATCTGTCACCCAGTTTTTTTACCCTTACGGCGCATCCAACAATCACTACAATGATCTGGAGGGCATATTACATCATTGAGCTGAGTTAAACTGAGGTCGAATTCGAAATCACATCGTTCGACTTTTTATTTATAGCTTGTTGTTTTTTACGACAGTGTATTACTGTGAAATGCAATCACTATGATGCTGAGATATTTGCAACAATCAGACTCCGTGCCAGCTTCATAGAGGTGTCATGTCGACGATATTATCGATGTCAGTATTTCGTCCATTATGCTGCTTTATTATGGATTATTAATTGTGATCTTGAGGTCTTTAATGGGTTAATGATGACAGTTAGGCATTTAGAATCAGATCGTCACTAATAGCTTCCGTTGGCAGTCATCTCGCACCTCATCACACATGGTCTGACTTGTGTAACTTTCACATCATCTATCGTACGTCAAATTAACATGTCTGCGTTTGGCGACGGTAGTTATGATAAAGATGGAGTGGTATTTTGTTACCTGAGTATGTCGGTTCTATTTTTGAAGCACCGGCCATATTGTTCTCATCTCTACTTAGTACTTTCATGTATTGTATTTAAAGCAATTTCTCTCATAATTCATTAGTCGTTATTATCAGACTTTCAGATGGACTTGTCACTTCTTCCTGAAGAGGTACTGGTGAATGTTCTCAGGCTAACCACTCCAACTACGGTTATAGCCGCAAAAAGACTAAACAAAAAACTGAACCGAATCGTCGAGCGAAATCATCTCGGAAAACCTCGTGTTGATGATTTTAAGTACGTTTCCGAGTTGTCTAAGATTTGAGGCCGTTAAATATTCGAGAAAATACTAACCATTGTGATCAACACGTTTTATGCCTGCGTACTTCAGTAGATCCGAATCCTGTGCGCATAAAGAAAGAGGATCCTTTGGTGGCGTCTTCAGCATCTGCTCCTATGTCATGATTTCACAGTGATTTGAAAAGTTGTACTCGACGTCTTCTCCGAAAATGAGCGTTATGATATCTCTTTTACTCTTACTTCACATTGCCCAGTGAAAATGTGTCGGTCCTTAACGGAGGAGGATTTTAAATCCTCAATATAGGTACCAAAAAATTGAATATCCTTTCAGGTTTATAATCTTTATAGTGTGAAATCGGAAGTTTGTCTCATATTTTGAAACGAAAATAAACTCTCTTTTACTCCCACTACACATTGCCTAGCGAAATTGTGTTGCTCCTTAAAAGAGATCGTTTCTAAATCCTCAACATATGTATCAAAAAAACGTGAATACCCCTACAGATTTATCTAAGCTGTGCAAGTGGATGTTTATCTCCTATTATTGAGTGAAAATAAGATATGTTGCAGCGTCGAAATGCGAAGTTATGTTGGAAGAACACGCCCAGTTGGTAAACTTCAACCGAAGAACTCGTCCGGAAAACTTCATCGACGAATAGTAGTGACTATAAAGCGAAAGAATAAAAGCAGAAATGTAGTTGAGGAAGGAATCGAAGGACCCAGCACCTACGGCATTGACCTCATTGGTGAGGAAATGAAAAAGGTTCGTGGAAATCATTCAATTCAGAACAACTCTTTAATAATTTGCTGGAATATTTTTCGGTGGTGATCGCTGTTATATCAATACTGTGATATCGCCTTATAAGAACAAATAAAATCATCCATTCCTTCCACGGGCTGCTCATTCTACCCAGTCCTATAAAGGGACTCGAACGCCATCATCCTTTTGGCACGAGGCCTTTGATTTCTACTATTCGTACAATATCATGTACTGCTCATAGAGGTCAAGCGCAGCATACATTTACTCGTATCTGTGATTCTGGTCGTAGATGTCAAACCTCCGGTTCGGAGACACTGCTGCAGAGATCTCGTCGCTCATGTGGGTGCGTAGCAAACTTTTTGGATATCAGTAAGGTACTGTACTGTTTTGAAATGTTCATCGACATCTCCTCAAGGACTAAACGATAGAACGAATTTAAGTGCTCTCGTCTGCCACTTTATTCCGAAAGTCAAGAATTAAGGACTTATTTAGGTGCTGTTGCTCGATCGTCTTTCATTCGATGGTGTTACAGCCGATACTGAATTTTATAATATGCTAACAGCAAAATGGAACGACTTAAGGTTTGCAATGCTTTGCACTCAATTCTAATAACTCGAATTTGAAAATCGTTCGGAAAACCATTCGATCTCTCTTTCGAGCTTAGCTAAATCTGTCTATTTTCTAACTTCATTTGTCACCTTAGAGATCGATATAATTCACTTTCACATAATATCTGAACGCTTCCCTTGCCGCTATTTTTCCCAATATTCAACACTCGCTTAAGAATATTAACTTCACGCTGTACATTTTTAGTGCCTCGGAAACCTATGGGTTGTAAAACATTTGTTCAGGTGTGTTCGCAACTTGTCGTTTACGTTATGTCGCCTAAAATTTTCTGAAGAGCAGATGTTATCGTTGTTGACACGGACCGCATGTCATTCCCTCACCCTTGATTTCTGTCACTTTGAACATGACATCGTCAGCGACAAGGTAAAACTTATAGGATTTCGAGCGTGGAAAGAAACAAATATGTTCGTATGCTGACCCGCGTGAACGAATCTCAAATCATTCTGAAAGCTCTAAAACTAAAATCGTTCATAAGAAGGTTAGCAACAACGTCAAGCACGGTGATGTCATGAGCTACTGTAATCATAAACTATTCCTGAGGAATTCTTTTTGCTTTCAAAACTTTCGTCGAAAACATAGCTGTGGAAAAATGAAGATGTTTGGTGCACTTTGCTTGGTACTGTGTGTTATAACTTTATCTCCTAAGTAAAGAAACCGACAAAACTCACATTTGTCTTCAGCCCTTAATCGAGAAGCCGTTTTGTCACTCACTGCACTGATCTGCACCTCGGATCGTACGTATAAGCCTTCTGAGGATGACATGCCATGACACATAATTAGTAAATTTCTATTCACTAAAATAAGTTGTTTGAATGTCGAAGTTTCATGTTACCAATGTTGGAAATGAAAGACCGAGAAAACGTAGCTTTTCCCTCAGTAAGTGGCACTCACCATGATATTTAATGATTCGAATTTAATGCCATTCTCTTTACGCTTTACTTTTGGAGGTTCTTCTGTGTGATGAGATTCTACTGAAGCCATTCCTTGTTTTGAAAGAAGTGGCGTCTGTTTTGTTTCCCTCTTTAAAATTTATTACCATAGTTGACCGACTACGTTACGCTTAAAGAGAAAGAAATAATCATTTCAGAGAATTTTGAGACTAGTGAGTAGCATTGTTTACGACATGAAGGAAATTCATTTACTTAAAAGAGCTCAGATATTAGATCTTTACAAGAATTCATTATCTTCAATATTGCAACACGACACTCTCTTTAGTGCGCAAGTTTCATTGGGTAGACGATGAGATACAAGAGCCTAAAAACCAAGGACCTGGCTTTTGTTTAATATTTGGAATAAAGATGATACTTTATGGGAGATTTTTTATCGATAACACGCTCACATCCATTTGACCACAGGGAAGTTCTCAGGATTGCATGAGTTTCGTGTCTGTCTGTTGATTTGACTGAGTGCATCGCAATTCGATGGGATTGATGGCGTTCTGATGGTGGGCTGTCATGGGCTTGTCACTACGAAAACACGTCATATGTGTCACGACGAACCCGTACGACGGACTGTCACACATCTGTGGCATGTGCGACAGCCGACGAAAAATCGGTGTCACAAGCCAGATTGATGAGAGGGAGTCTGATGGATCAGTTTTACTGTATACTGAAGAAGACAAGTGCAAACTCTCAACAGATATCGATAACATCTGGCCTCTCAGTTCATTTTGAGGATTTAAAAGATGGAGCAGTGACAAATGACAAAATCTACGCTATGAAGAGCAATACTTTTGCCGATAGATTTTAGCTGAGCATATGCGCTACTAACGAATAGAGGACAATTGACCAAGGAGTTCCATTCAGAACTGGAGAACTGAAATCACAGTAATGGCCCTTTGTGCTTATCAGTAACGTAGCAAAAGTTTGAGGAGACTGTGAACAAAAAAAACGCACTTCAGATGGAGTACTTTGATGACAGTGAAAAAGTCAATCCAAATACAGACAAGGCAGATAACACGTTCTGCTCATTTCATCACCTTTGTTCGGGTTTCTTCTTTAATTTGACTTGATTTGCAGCTCATTTGCGAACCGACGAGCATTTCATTTGTTTGACTTTTAATTACTGCCTAATGTTTTTTTCATGGTAGTGTATTAGGTGGAATACAACCATAAGCATGCTAAGATATCACTGTGATTACTTCTTATTTACTGTCTACTATTATTTTTTCACGGCAGGGTAGAATATGAAACACACCAACAACGATACTGAAATATTTGCAAAATTTGGTTCCCTTGCCAGATTCAAACCCGCGAGTACCCTTTCAGGGAACCACGTGTTACCCACTACAACACAAAGACCCTTGCTTTGCTGCCTCTCTCCTAACCAGTTTTCTAACTAGCGGTGGCATCAGCAATCACACGTCAATGGGAATGATCTTGGGAGCACAAACTGGCATTGAACACAGTTTAGCTGAAGCTATTGTCGAAATCAAAATGTCCGCTTTTTATTCACTGCCAATTAATGTTTTTTCAGGCCAGTCTCTTAAGTGAAATACAACTATTATAATGCTGAGATATACAAAAAACTCGAGACTCCGTGTTGGCTTAGAACTCACTATTACCGTTTTTGGGGGCTCACCTACCACCCACCATACCGACCGATACCCTTTCTTCGCTTTTCTCTACTTTTTTTGTATTCGTCGCTGAGTTAGGGTATAATATAGGACATTTATCAGTTACGTTGATGTCACTTATGATAAAAAAGGTGATTTCAGGTGTTGGGAGCAATCGTGTGTCTACAAAGTCTACGTGTTCAGCCTCGATCGAACGTGTTCCTTCATCAACTGACGAATGCAACGCTGCGCAATTGGGCCACATCACCGCCCACCACGATTGCACTCTACAGTTGCGTCACTAACATCACACTACAAGGCATTTTCGACATGATTAAAGTAAGTTGTTCGAGTAATATCGAAGTAGAACACTTTCATCAAGATTTTGATACAACACATTTGTTGAAGAGAAGAGCGAAAAATGGTAGCCACAGAAACAAAGCAGTGAAACAATGAAGCATAAAGCATTCGACGGTGATCATTCCCTGAGACATGCTTCGTGCATTTAACTCCATTCGTAACACCTTAGAAGTGATTGAGAGCATATTGCAGATGTGTCATACCAATGCTTTTATCCTCATAGAAGAGTCAGGTATCAATTTTTCCAGCAAAGATTGCTTGGCTGTCCTGGGGCTTGAGATCGAACCAAGCACCATTTATGTACTACAATACCACAAACACTACACTGCACCCTACTTTTTTTTGCTCCTGGATCAAATATTGACCCTACTTTCTGGACTCTCTGCTGTGAGATGTCATGCGCCTTCACTTACCTGACTTCTCGCTAATGCAAATTTTTCAGTGTTTGAGTGACGACTCGATAGTGGACTGGGATTTCGGCCGTGTGCTGCCCTGTGAAGGTGTTGATGGACAACTATTCTCGATGATGTCTTTATCCGGAATGACAATCTTTATCTGTGATGACTTCCGCTCGCGACGAGTTCAAATAGCACGCGGAGCATCACGGATCGCCTTCAATCTTATCAAAGAGGAAGCGTTCACCGCTTGATTGGTGTTCGTTCTAGAACTCCTTCTATAGTTAGTTGTTTAGCCGCTGAACCTACTGAATTCAATTTTATTTTCAACTACGTTTTTTTCTAAATAAGGTGAGGTCGCAGATAGATAGATAGGTATTGATCATTTCTTATCTTTTTTCGCCATGAAACCCCTAGGTTCTGTGTCAGCATTATTTCGTTACTGTATCCGACAGTGATCACATTCTCTTGTTTAGTCAGATTATGGAGTTTCATCTTCCAAATTCCTATGTTACTTATGATTTGATCTTTTTGAAATCATTCTTCGTTTATGCCTACGGGTATATTTTTAAATCGGGAAGGTATTTCTTTCTTTAGATACAGTGTTTATCTACTTACTATATTCTATTTAACATGACACGTGAGTTCAATTTTTCTTAACGGCCATTCCATCTAGAAATAAACAAATTCTGGCAAGTATTCTATGTAACTACTTGTTACTGCTAGTTCAGGAAATTGTCGCAAAGTCCTCGAAGATAGTGCAAGTTGGTAAAGTCGAAGATTGGTAAAGTACTGTAGAAATCGCCTTGAAGATGAATGGTTCAAAAGATTCAACGATTATCGTATATTTGAGAAAGGTAGAGAAAGTGGAAGGTGACAAGGTGCCAGTAAAGTGACAAACGCATTTGAGGAGCATTCGTCATAACTTTTCTAATTGCTCTCTGTACAATCTCTCCCAACAAACCAATTCTACAGAACTGCAAGGAAGTCTGTCTTTTACTAAGGAAACACTGTAAATTAGTAGAGAAATAAATTTTGGGCTGCTTAACAGCTCATTTACTATGGTTCTTACTGAGATTGTAGTATGTTGAATAAAGTGAGAACTGTGGTAATTAATGTAGAGAATTTATTACAAGATTCAATAAGACCTAAGTGCACCGTTGTCATCAACGTGCCATTGCACTGACAAAATTCTAAAGTACTGACCGATAATATCTGATCTCTGTTTGAAACGAAAGAAAAGTTCATAGTATGTACAAATGAAGAAGTATGCCGACCATTCGTGACATTTCATTGTTCACCTTTCTGCCTTGTACTTTTATTACCACTTCAGCTAACTCACAGGAAAGTGGGAGAGCACCGATGAAGACTAGAGGGAACTTGGACTGAAAAAAGTTAAACACCTTAGGGATAAGTAGAGTCTGCCTAGTTCAAACACTACAAAGCGTTAGCTATGGAGTTTAAGGTCGTGTTTACAAAAAAATGCTTTTCCTCTGTTTTCAGGATAAAAATGGCGCACTAATTCTTCATGAAGCTCCTTTTTTAAGCAAGCAGTAGTGCTTTCATCACTAGTTATGCTGTTGCGTTAAAATGAGTATAATAAGAAACAAACAATAAGTGAAATAAAATTTATATGGTGTTGGGCTCAACATTTTTGAAAAGTGCTTCCCGTAATTAACTCAACCGAGCAGACAGTTCACGAAATGTTCGCTCGGCTGCCATTATTCGAAAAGATTTTCTTGCTCAACCAGAGCACTAAATTTGAAAAGAATATAGAATTATAACAATAAGCCCAACTGTCATTACAATACTGTTATTATTGTGTTAATACTGCTATTATTGTATTATAAAGGGTCCGCGTAGCGCAGTGGTTAGAGGTGCTCTGCAATTCATATGGGTACGATGCTCGTGCTCCAGGCTAACTATGCAATCCATCTCTCCAAGATTGGAAAATTGTTACAGTACTTGCCTGGGAGGCTTGCAGCACTGGCTTAATACATAGGCTGGTCACCGCGAGTCATTGTAAAGGCCAAATATGTATTCAATCGTCTCTAACGATGCTACGAATGGAGTAGAATGCATGGCGCACTCCTCAGGGATTAATCAACACAGTGAGCTTTTTTGTTATAATATTACGATTATTGTCTCATTATTACTCCCAGCTTATTACTGCTATTATTATTCATTGTCTCATTACTATTAGCATTATTAATTACTACTACTATTACCATCACTATTATTACCATTGCTATCACTATTACCATTAATATCATTGTTACTTTTGTAAATGTTATTATTAATTATTTTTGGCCTAAGGTGTTCGGGAAATTAATGTCTGGCTTGTTGTTTGACTCTTCTTCTTTACCTGTTAGTAATGTTAAGGTCACTTATGCACTTTCGTTATGCACAATTGGACTATAAGATAACCTGTGTTCTGACAAATTTTGAAGGTTAGAGTTTCATCTGACAAAACAGATATTCTGGTGAATCTATTTCTACGAATTCAAAATCGAGCACAGTGCAGCCAAACCGCTCGAAACATTAATGAGGGATGGGCCAAGGAAGTGTTAACGAAGGCACAGTGCAACTTGAGCTTGGAAAATTTCATCGCAGCAGAATCAACCTTGAACATTAGGGAAGTCACGGACACCTTGTTACTGATGACGATATTGTTCGTCATCAGTAACAAGGTGTTACTGATGACGATGACGAATTGAAGGCTTAGCTTTAAGCAAACACGTACACAGGTGTTCAAGAACTTGTAGAAGGACTCTGTTCGAACGTCTAAAATGTTTCGGAATATTTAGAGAACATTTACTTATACGATCTTATAAACTGATCTTCTTTAGCTGATGCAAGGTTGGTATAGGTCCTCGTTGTCGTTGTCGTTGTTTTTGATGTTATTGATCGATGGCTGACGTTTCGGCAACTTCGCCTTCCTCAGAGCCTGGGCATATTTTATATAAAAATACTTTGATTATTCGGTGGAAAAAAACACTAAAGTATGAATGAAGGTCAAACCTTTAAATAGATGGTGGGTTAGGATGCTACGGTCAAATGTAGTTCTACGCCATATTGAACAGAAAGGCCACTCACCGTGATGTTACGTGCGGGACTGGCCCACACGTAGTTCACGTGGAGTCGCGAGCAAGGCACACCCCGGGGTCAAAATCTCATTTTGAAATAGGGCGCCAGGTCACGTGTGATAGTGAGGCATTCGTCCTTCCGGTTCATCTTTGGATCTTTGAAATTTATTCAAAACGCCTCAAAAGTTTTGCGCGTTGATGTTTTCGATTCCTGCGCTAGGATCCGCACAGTCACTTCAAAATCATCGCCGTTGTGCTTCTGTGCCCTATGCGTACCTAGAGGAGTATTTTGACGAATTTTAATTTTCCCATCTAGTTGTTCTTTTATGGGGACACAAAGTGGTCTACCCGTTTTCCCAATATATTACTCAACGCATGCGTTACATGAGATCAATCATATTATACCAGAACTCGTGCAAACCCCGTCTCTTCCATTAGAGCAGATCATACAGTTTTCTGAGCTCCACGAACGATCATAGAGACGGCTGCGAACTAACTGACGGTGTAGGGTATTGGGTGGGATGTCAGCAATTGTTACATAATTTAGAAAGTCCGTCTTTTGAGTTATTTAGAAAACGTTTCCATCAGTAAGCCTAGCTGAGAGTAAACCGATACCAGGAACCACCACCGCCCTTGTGTCGAAGTCGCATGTGCAAATCTCCCTCTGATCCACAAGGACTGCGACTGCTTGTGGTGGTGAAAACCTGAGGCACACATTGGCCAGACTGACATCAGAATTCCAGGGAACCATAATGGCATTAGCAGCAAATCTCCGAAAAGTGGAGATTATGCTGGGGCCCGCACAACCAGTAAGGAAAGGCCATTCAAGTATCATATCAAGTAAGTATTTAGAGAACATTAAGCGGTCGAAGAAGCTGGAAAAATAAATTCAACAGACGGGTGATTGCTGATGGCAAAAAGATCGATAGAACTAGCTGAGATAGATGCAAAGCGAAGGACCCGGATGGTGTAGTGGTGAAGTGCGCTGCTCCCCGGTAAGGACAACAGCGCGTGTTCGTTCCCCACTGCATACACCTGTGGTCCGGAGTTTTGCAAATATCTCAGCACTTCATACGAGAAATTCAACAGAGTTCAAAGAAGTCCAAAAATCCACAGGAATTGAGTGACAGTCAAAGGGACGGATGTTTAGAGGTTTCGACTGCCCTTCTTTTACGGAAGCAGAGGCTGTACCGTGTCGAGCGACAAGAAATGGAACCGCTGTGGTCGGTCTGCTCAATGTTCGGGCTAGGACAAAGGGCCTAATCATTCCCAAAGCCGAAATTGCACGAAGGGAAGGCCACTCTGACCGTTTGTTGATTTGCTGTTGGCTCAATTCATTACAGTTTCCTGAATTCCGGTGGAAGAACGACTGAGAGTAGTGTGTCCACCAAGTAGACCAAATACCACACAAACTTTAATGGCTGCGCCACTCATTAGTCAACGCCATGGCACCTTCTTCATGAAACGCACGGACACTAGTGGTACTGCCGACGTTGCAGAGATTGGACGAGGTGGATTATGAAGCTTTGCCTCATCCTACCATACTTGCAATACTTCTCGCCTACTGACTACCAATTCTTATCCTGGATAACTTTCTGTGATATAAATGCTTCAGAAACTAAGCAGTAGTTAAAACTACCATCAATGACTTCATTGCCTTTGGAAGGCCCGTAATTTTGAGCAATCGGTAAAAGTAAACTTGCTTCTCACCGACAGGATTGCTAAGATTCTAGTGGCTTTCATTCTAATTAATATTTTTCATACTGAGCTGAGATGTCTCAAAAAAATTCAGGCTGAAATCCGACATTTCCTAAGGACCTGTCAGTTGTGATCACTCTTAAAAGCCCAAGATTTCGATAGAAAATTAAAGTAACTAAATGATTCTTCTCTACGTATCAAGTGAACTCCAGTAGATTTTTAAACCGTATGGTTCTACTATCAACGTCAATCAGATTTTAATTTTAGTCCATAATCTCACTTTGGAGTAAAGCGATGCCAGAAATTACTGGAATCACAGAATCAGAGCTATCTAGCTGTTGACAAAGCCCCTCTCCTCTGCTGTTCATGAGCACTGATGTTTGGATTCAGTCCAGGCGGATGCGAGTCTCATAGCAAGATCTGTTTGTTACATAAGAACACCTTTTCGCTACAACAAAATATTATAACAA